AGGACAAAAAAAAAAAAAAAAAAAAAAAGCTCTACATCCCTTACGTGTCTGCTGTGGAGGAGCCCACTGTAGTGTTACTACCCTTGAAGGGGTAAGTTACTGCCTAGGGTTATTTTCAATATTCAGGTACAGGCAAACCCAGCCAGGTACATACGAGAGTAACAGCAACTGAAATTGGCTCTGGGTTTCGCCTTTAACAACCTGAAGAAAAAAGAGGAGTCTGTAATACTAATACAAGGAGCTAGGTGACCAAGTGGAAATCCTCACTCACGTGAGCTTCAGTGCAAAATCTCAGCCAACTTTTCCTCATAATACTGGAAGTTCTCTTGAATGTCCTCCCATGGCACGAAAGCCTTTGCTTCCTCTCCTTCCTCCTGTTCCACAAAGTTCTGCCAGACATACTCAAAGTCTTGAGGCTTCATAATCCTCAGCTTGCAGCCAGCTGACTTCATTTTTTTCAGGGCAGCCTGCATTTCTGGCTCTTCCCACATGAAGAGGCGCCCTACCATGATTGTCAGACGCAGGTTCTTGTTCTTCTTTAGGGTCTCGGTTATCCGGTCAGCACAGGTCACGCAGGGACTGGAGGAGACGTACCAGGTGATGTTGTAGCGGAGGCTTGATTCGCACTTTGGTAAAATTGTGTTGAAGAAAGCCATTTCTGCGTGGGCGGCCGCATGCTCGTCTTCCAGGTAACCCCGAGAAGTCACTGACTCTTTGCCTTGGGTCTCGACGACGTAACACAGGAAGGTTTTGTTCCTGCCTGAGCTGTATTCCACGTTCCTGAACTGGAATTTGAAAAATATGGCTGGGAGGCGCTCCCTATAAAGAGTGGAGAGGAGAGAAGCATCTCAGATTGGTTTAGTTCCTGTGTGATCTTGGACAAGTCGCTGCATCTATGATGGCTGCATCCCTCCGTGTATTAAAAGGAGATGCCTTTTAATAGGAGGATAAAAATACATTAAAAATTACAAGATATTCAGCTAGTTTTGCTGCGTGGTGCCATTCTCACTACCTAGTCTTTTTCACTTAATTTTAACAAACTTGTACTGGGAATTTCTGGTATCTGCATTGAGGTGTTTGAAGAGGAACTTGCTTCTGAAATGTATTTTTTGAGACTATGATATTTACTGTTGGTAAGGAGGGACAGCAACTGGCATTTTCCCAGTCTTAATGCACCTGTAGACTGAACTGTGTTCTTCTACTGTTTTCTAGGCTATTAATACAGTTCTTTCAGTGTAGTGTTGAGATGTTAATATGCAGGATCTGTTGTCCTAAATTGTTAGGATAACAACTCTGGCATTGCTAATTAGTGTTTTACCCCCAGTGCTTTTGCAGTCTGGATTTCCTCTGAGTAGAGGCAAGCGTGACTGACTAGTTGCAGTTGTTCTAGTTTTACTCTTCCACTATCAGTTGAATACTAATATTCAGTAGGATTATGTTGTGACTTTGGTTTAATAAAATATCTGAGATCAAAT